CGAGATTTGTAACATCATTTACTTCTGTATAAGGCCAAACAAATATATGTGCTTCTAATACCACTAAAAATTGTACAGGGTAGGTTTGTTTTTTCATCTTAAATAATCTTTTATTTCATCTGGATATTAATTGTTGTCAACAGGAACAATTTGCAAATTTTTTTTTTTTTTTATTTAGATGTACATGTACAACTGTAGGAACCAGTATTTTTGTGTGAAGAATTTTCAAGCATCCAAATAGAAGGATCCAGGCAAGGTCAGGTTTACCAGAAATATACTATTTTTTTTTTCTGCCAAACTACCTAATTACTGTTAATACAAGTATACACAGTTTGTGGTATTAAAGAAATTGAAAATGAGCAACACATTTACAATAAAGAAAGAGGAAGTTTGTTCAAAAACACAACATTATTCATGACAACAAAACAATGAATAGTTATTAATTAATATTTAAACAATAAAGATGAAAACATTATAAATGATGTTGCGAAACACAATTATAACTGTTTTATATACAAGAGAATGCAATTTAAAAGTGAAATGTTTAAACTAGCTGCTTCAGAAAAAAAGCAATTAGCCATTTTTTCTATGTTAAGAAATTTGAGCATCTTGTTTGATTTTTTTCCCTGTATTGTATTGTTAGTGCCTGTAAAACTTATATTCAACCAAAGGTCACTTTTTTTTTGTACTCCAAATGTTGTTGGATAATATATGTCAAATATAACTAGCAGGTCATCTGAATAACAGTCTGGTTCACTATTTACAAGATTTATTGGAGGGTGTCGAAAGGTGTAGGTGTGTAAAAGTATAATTACAATATCTTTTAATCCAGCTTACACTAAGCTTTATCAAACTGTAAACTAACTATAGGAATATATACTAGGGCTATAAGTTAGAGCAACACTGAAAAGCACATTGTGAATGTGCAGTATAGTCCAGGTATAAGTTTATTTCCAAGCTAGCTATCAGTTGTCTTGGCAGTTTCATAAACAATTTACAAATTTTAAAGAGAGTATCATTGCCCTCAATAATTTCAATATATTCTTTGTATTATTTTCCAATGTTTCTAATATCCTCGGGGACAGAGCTACGTCACAAGATGTTCCATGTTGCTAAGACGTGCACCACTGTACCATTTAATTCTATGGGCTCTGCGCGAGCTGGTGCGTAGAGCCGTCGAAGGTAGCTAAATTCGAGAAAACGGCACAAAATCAACCTTGAACATGCAGGAGTGATCTTGTTACACTGTTCAGGGGAGTCTCAACAATCATCCCAAAGTACCGTTTTCTGAAAGCAATAGGCCTTTGTTTTCACTATGAAGGTTGTCAGGCGGTGTGGCAATTCATGGAAGTAACCTAAGCTAGCTAAATCTGCACATATGCTTATTTAAATTATTTTTTTAATGGTCAAAATAAGTATATAATATTTCAATATTTCAGTACACTATATTTGCTTTTATTAGTAGCACAGTTATTGAGGTTTTTCCATGGTCAAAATAAACATGATTCAGTATACAGATAATGAGATTTTTGGTTTATATGCTCTTCTATTCTGGAGATGCACATTTACTGTGGTTCCAAAAAAGAATGGAATGGGAATATTGCTGTACGAGACACTGTTTTGCTAACAAAATAGTTACATTACACAAAGTGTTGCTACAGGAAGCAATGAACACATTATGAGCAATATAATAACAATTATAAAATGTAAATTTGATTTGTCACGAATACAATATCATTTTCCTAAGAATTAAACTGACATAATCAAATGTGGTACATCAAGTCTGAAGAAATCAAATGAGGACAATGTACGCTGACGATGAAGACATTTTCAATCCAAACTGCATTATGTTGTTGTGAGTTTCAGTAATATGTGGTTAATACCAAGAAAGTTGCCATGAGAATTTATTTCAGCGACGTAAGTCTTTTAATAGCAGGCCATCATCCTGTAATAACAGGCCTTAAAAATAAATAAAAAGGCTCTCAACAGTGCAAAGCGCTGCAGTGAGACGGTCGAGACAGCAAAGAGTAGACAGCCAATTTGGGCTTATAGCAGGCCATATCGCCGGTGGGCAGCTCTTAGTGACCCCCCCCCCCCCCCCCGAGTCTTAAAACTTGCTTGTGCGAATCAAATGCCCTTCATGAATAATTAATCATATGCTGTCATGCTCAGTGATATCATCATTTAACAATTTTTTTACTGGCAAATTGGCACATAATTAGAATTTTCAAGGTACATGTAATACATTATACATGTTGCACATGTAGTGGTAATCTTGTTTGACTGTTCAGGGAAGTCTCAACAACTATCCCGTTTTTAGGCTTTGTTTTCACAGCAATGATTGCTGGGCGGTGAAAATACCTGGATGTCCACCCTCTAGGATATAAATTGGTCTGGTTGTGGAAACATTTTTGTTGGAGGTTTTTCTAAGTTTGTATAATGCATGAGCAACCTGATGTAGTGATTATCTTAGATATCAATTGAAAATTACTGTATAAAAGAACACAGTCAGTGCCTGTCAATTTTTCAACCAGCGTTGACTTTTCTCTTCTATGTTTATTATGAATCTATAAAATTTTATGCATGCAAGACTACAATTACCAACGCTGAACATCAACATGGTCTTTCTCAATAAAGGTACGTTGCTTCTATACAACATGAACATAACGCCAGTAGTCTTAATATGTACAAGATGAATTAAACATCTGCCTGAATCTTAGCCATTAGCTTTGACCGCCCCAATCTGCATCACTTTATACTGAATAAAAAGCATGTAATCATCTACTGATTACAGGTAGAGATGTTTAACCCTAGGATGAATTTAGATCCGAATGATCATCATACTGTTGTAAAAACAAACAGACATCAACCAAATTACTATCACTGTACCACTGATGATTGTGAGTGGTGATACTGTTTGGGTCACTGTAGATTTAAATTTGCTAAAACCGAGAGGTTAGGCATAATTGGGTGTCATATCTTTACGTTGTAATTTTTCTTTAACTGCGACGATGTTGGAAACACCTCAGAATAAATGAAACGATGATTATTATAAACTGCTCACAAGCAACTTTGAAATGTTAGTATTTGTAACAACAAATTTGATTAGCTCACAACTTAGCTATAGGCGCACAATCAGATACAACCTCCAACATATACCCTAATTATACAATGTACTCTTATAGCACACATGGAAAGTGGGATGAACTGATACAAAACCATGCAATCTGACAATGAATTGATTGCGAACCAAATTTCTGTTGAGTGAATGTAATGATTATACTACACAAGTAAATTTAATATAATTTTGCATTTTTAATTACAATTACATGATGGCTTGTATTATTGACATTCTTTTGAATTTTTGGCCAACATTTTTATGTATATTTATCGTATTTTCATATAATTTCTTGGTTAATTTCTGACCAAATGAACATGATTTTTTTCTTGCAAATAGGTCTTTTAAAATTTGCTGCAAGGTGACAAAGTTTGATATTCAAATTTGTATGCATTGATAGCTATACAAGACTGTAGTATTATGTACTTCTGCACATACCTAGGTTTATTGAATTCTCTTTCTCTTTCAGTTCAAACCTTATTCAAAGCACTGAATAGTTTTTGAAAATCAATTACTAAAGCTGATACACGCATACTAATACAATAATAATATTGTCCACCCAATGACATGAAATGTGGATATATTTCAACAACAAATTTAAGAGTATTGGCAATTGTTATTAAATCATGAATACCGGGTAGTTTCAGATGACATCGCTATAAAAACATTGCATAATTTGATTGATTATTCATACATTATCAGACTCTGACAAACAAGAAAAGTAAACAAAAAAAAAAGAAATCCTGACACCGAAAGAGATGTATTTATACCTCCTGTGGGATTGAAAGAGACTTGTAACAAATCAGTGAAAAGTCAGTATGTAGTAACGTAGTTGTTGCAATTATTGTTATTATCTATGCATACTGTCCACAATTGATCTGTTTCACATGTTGAATTACTTTCTATGCTGATTATATCAAATTCTATTTTGAGTAAAAAATTCATAATTGTAAAATTGCTATTAATTGCTCTACAACCATTTATTTATAAATAACACAGAAATTTTAGCCAGTAATTATTTGTTCCTAAATTACACTCTATCAACACACATATATTGAAACAAATTTATAATTGCAGTCATGTCCGATTTACGTTACTCAACAAGTATGCAGAAAGAAATTTCTATTGAATTGCTGAAGACGTGTACATTTATCTCATTTTTTGTTCAGGTTTAATTTTTTGACAGAGAATAAAATTGGGAGGTTAACAATTTCAAGATCTGGCCCGCCACCATTTTTTCGTAAATGGAACATGGGTAAAATCATGTTAGAAGGTGAAAACATATATATATATATATGCATGAAATATACAATGTTTGTTTTTGGTCTGCTGTTTGTCATGATGTGTTTGTGTTATTAAACAAATAAAAATGATATATTAACATCATAATAAATTTTACAATAATAATATTTTATTTTATTTGTATGTACTTCTGTTTCTCAGTACTGTCAATGTATTCAATTGAAATCAGAGACTTAGCAAACGCACAAATTAAATTTGAAAGTGGAGAAATGAGAAAAAAAAAATATACGTGTCTTTGAAAAGATGAGCCGCATCACCGCCGTAAACATGATGACAGTGTTATTTTCACAGTGCATACATGCATGCATTTCGATGACCTCAACAGAGATAGAGAAATAACAAATGTGACCTTATTAATACCGTGATACAGTTATAGCGTATTGCAGCAAAATAATCATAATTATCGTGATAGATCCGTCAACAACAACGCTGTCGGTTTGACGCTTAGTCAATGAATGACATGACGCAAATATAGCGATTAACGTCAAATTAAAAAAATATTCAAAAATACGCACATGCTAAAAAATCGTTTTCCGGGGAAATTGTCATGTTGTGATGATTTAAGATTAACAAACCTTACCTGAAACAGGAGGATTCTAGAGGCAATGAAATAGGACGATAAGAGACAATCACAGCGACGAGCAGCGGGTATTGAAGCCTCGCGTTAGTCTCGATCTGTTCGAGATGTCCACGAATCAAAAAGAGGTCAAATCAAGAAGGTCAAAAGGAGAATACCGTGCATATTATGTTTCATTCTCTCCTAACAGTTGTACTGCGCAATCAATCAAAAATTGCTAACATCATAGTGATTATGGTTCTTTAAGCAAATTTGTTATTTTCATTATTTTTTAATTAATTATTAAATTGAGGTCAGACTGTTGACCTTCGATCGTGGTTGTTCAACTTTAAAATGGCGTCCTCCGAGTTTGAGTTGGGGGGTGTGGCAGCTCTGAACTTTTTATGTGTTTTTCCATGTTTATTTCTAAAAATTCCGCAAATTTTGCGAATTCTAAAGACGAGAAGTGCAAGAGGCGTTAGCACAACCAGTGTTTTCTTCGAATGGGAAGCGTAAGTGATAGAATTGTTTGTTTCGTCTGGTGTCGTCTGCTATTATACTGACGGTGCAAGGGTGTGCATGTGTTGTTATTATACTGTATATATTCACTTGATCATACCGCTGTATAATAGAATATATATTTTTACTATATGAATGAACAAATTATTTTCCCCGTAACTGTTGCCAACCCACTGCGATGATAATTGCAGTGTATAACAGAATTATTATTTTGTAATATTATTTTTGAATTCTGTATTTGCCAAACAGTGAAAATATACATTTATTTATTTTAATATTCTCTTGGGAAAAAATATCTTTACAAAGCCGGTGGACCACAGGTATCATGTGTGACCTTCACTTATGTTATATTATCATGTAATAACACAACATGTCACAAAACTCTGGGTGACTATATAGCTGAATGACACCTACTTTAAACAAATAAACATTGAAATTAAAAATATTGGTAAACATTTGTTTCAATATTTTTGCAAATAGTTATATTTATTTGGACACAATTCGTGAATATTTGATTTTTTTACCCAGAATGACATATGCTGGTACTTCCAACTTATAATATTTTATGCATGCTG